AGTTTTATTTTCTCCCCCACCCCAGCAATCAGCAATATTTGGGCATCGCGCCTCCTCACAGACCTTTTAAGTCATAAAAAAAGTGTAAATTACTTAAGACACCGATAAGTGAAGATTAATAACTTACAGTATTAAGATTCAATCCACGCAAATCATTTTTTATTCTAGTGAAATTTGCACCGACAGGAACTTTTGTTTTGAGCCATTCTGGTAATCGCTGATACCTAATACGACATATTATAATTGTTAGGAGAAGCTATTTTATACAATAACGAAAGACGAAATAGGAAATTGACGAAAGACAAAACCCTCTGGCAAAATGAAATCCTGACGAAAGACGAAACTTCTGGCGAAAGCTAAAACCCCCAGCTAAAAACGAAACCTCTGCTGAAAGATGAATCCCATGGCGAGATACGAAACCTCTAACAAAAGATACTTCCGAAACTCTACTAAACGATGAAATCCTAAGAAAGTTAAAGGATGAGCAATAGTTGAGCATTTTTTATATGATTTATTAAATTAATTCATCATTTAAGGGTAGAGTGTACGTCGATCATTTTCATATGATCTTGTTGTACAAATAAAAGCTTATTTAAAAAAAGCAAGTTTGAGATTTCTATTGAAAATCACTGTTACACAATTTTTTATATTGTTTTATGTATGTTTGGAAATTCACGTGAGCTTAACTGTTAAGATAATCGAATTACACAAAAACTATAACAGGCATAGCAGATAACTGATAAAGTAACGTGAAGTTAATCTTTAATTTTAACCAATCAGAATTCTTGTCGATCAACCAATAAAATCGCTCGAAGAAGAGTAGACAAAATCTTAGGTTAAATATACACATATAGCCAAACAGAAAGGCTAACTATCTCAGAAAAAGAAATAGATATTCATCTCAGCTAACGTTTCTTATAAGTTGTAATCAAATTATATTGTATATTTAGAAAGTTTGCTTAGTTTGTATATTTAAAAAGCATAAATTTAAAAACTTATTATATTTAAGTTTAAAAAAAATAATTTATTTAAAACTACTTTGTAAATCTAATAAAACATTTTGTTTATAAAAAAAACCTAAATGAAA